AAGGAATAGAAAAAAAATTTTTTTCAATTTAACCAAGAGTATGTTTTGAGGTATCCTGATAATCTTTATTGTTTTTTTTTTTTTTTTAACTGGGCAAAGAATTTTATTAACTTTTTTTTCGAAGTTTATTCCAATATGCTGCAAAGAATGTATTGTGGATAAGCAAAAACCGAAAGAGCTGCAGTGTCCAAGATGTTTGGGCTTAAAAAGATTAGCGATCTAGATTTTATTAGATCCATAAACAAAATTATTTTTAAAAGCAGTCATAACATAAAAGATCAGTTTCCAGTAACTTGACTTCAAGTTTTATTTTCTTCAGAAGTTGACTCAATTCAGTTTGCCTCATTCTTAGACACCTTGTCAACAAATCCACATGATCTGGAACTTCATCATCACTGTCCTCTCCCATAGCAAGGGGTGCTTCTCCAACCACAGATTGTTTGGGCAGTTTCAGCCAGTCCCCTTAAGCCAGTCAGACCGCCTGTACTAAGCTGGTTTAGGACGCTGCGAAGCATTTCTGTTAGGGGCTTTGTCTCAGCAATATGGCCATAATGATCAAAGTGTTTGTTACCAGACACTGCTATTCTTTATTCTTAAAATACTGAAAAGGTTGGGGCTGGAGAAATGGCTTAGTGATTAAGACAGCTGGTCTTGCAGAGGAACTGGGTTCGGGTCCCAGCACCCCCATGGCAACTAACAACTGTCAACAACTCTAGTTCCAGGGGATCCAATGCCCTCTTCTGGCCTCCAGGGGCCTTGTACAATGTCCTATATTTACATACCTACAGGGAAAACACTCATGCGCTCAAAACACTATTTTTTATTTAAAAAGTAAACATTAATTATATTCAAATGTTTTGTATTGTCTTATTTTGTTTTGATTAAAGCAAAGCTATTACAATTGTTCCAGATTCCGAATCAAAACCATAAAGATTAGAAATACTCACGCATGTGGGCAGATGTATTTGATATGTGAACTTCTGATACCTGCAAAGGCTTCTGCCCATCCATGCCTGGTGGAGAAATTGTTAAAACATGCTATTAGATACTGTTTTAAATCCTAATAAACTGGTAACAGAACAGTACTTCAAATTTTTTGAGGACAAATGTTAGTTCTGTAGACTATCTTAAGAGTGTGGAGAATATGCCATCAAACAGCAGCTGTTCTCTGACATTTACCCACAGTCAAGCACAGTCTCTCATTTCTGAATAGCAACATATGCAGCTTTGTTTATTTTTACTGAGCATGCATGTATATGTTTATTTTTTTACAACTTTGTGACCATGTACCTAAAGTAGGCTAGACAGAGAATACAATTCAGATTTCAGATGAAAAAAACCTGAGAAATAAAGTAAATCAGCTTTCTAGTATCTCTACCAACTTACAGTATTAAAATCAACTTCAATTAGTATTATTTGTGCATATACAAAAATCTACACATGCCTTTCTACACAAGTCTTTCCAGTCAGAAATAACTTTTTTTGTGTGTGTGTTGGTCTATGTTTCTGAGGCTGCCTGGAACTCATGACTTACCTGCTCCGGCCTCTCCAGTACTGGGGTTATAGACGTGTGCCACCATGCCCAGCTCAGTTCATCTTCTGATGTATATTCTTCTGATTTTTTCCCACATATACCACTTAAGAAACCAAGGGTGGAGATGCTTCTCATTGGTAGAGTGCTTACCTAGCATTTATTTATAAGGTCTTGGGTTGGATCCCCAGTACCAACAAAAAAGAAAAGAAATATAATAGATTTGATAAATTGGGTTCCTTCCACAGTTTTCTGCCTGCTGATTCTTCTTGACATTTTAACTGATACTATTTTATGTGTTATCTCTACTAAAGAATAAAACAGAAGTAATTTAAGCCAGATTTATTTTGTAAAACTGTCTTACATAAACTTTAAATACTTTTGTTAACTTTTACTGTGTTAATCTACCTCCCTCAAAATGTTAAAGACATATTAAAAACATATAAAACAACCATGATCCAGGCTATTCTACAAATTCTA